GACGTTGCACTCGATTGGAGCCTTGCAAGCTAGAAAGACATCAGCCTTCAGAGCCAGAGACTCAGTGTTGGTGGAAGGCATGCAGATGAATGGAAAAGCCTGGCAGGCTGCACTTGGGCATGTGATGTGCATAACCAGGTGACAGAAGCGAAGGCTCATCAGCCACAGCTTATGCCAAAAGCCTCGACAACACAATTTGCAACACAGGCAACGTTGCGCAGTTACCAAGGTACATCGCCAGTACCACAGGAAGGAGCCCTTGTGGCAGTCAAACAAAACAGGCAGCAGCCTATCATCCCGTCAACGGTCTACAACTTCCCACAGATATCCTGCACTATCCCCAAAAAAGTCCCAAATGCTCATCAGGTTGCCTCCAGCGAGGATCACACATATGCCCAAGTTTGCCTGGGGTTAATGTCAACGAACTGGGCCCCCACTTAGGTTCCTTTGTGCCACAGCCAGCACCAACGAAGGGTTTGCTGGCGATTATTGCATTTATCCAGGCCCAGCAAGCAGTGTCTTGTATTTTTGCTCAAGTAATACCACTTTCATGCTGTAATGGGGGATGGTTTAGGGCTGGGTGGGGCTATGTGGGGAACGATGGAATGCCACTTGCAGGCAGAAACCTGTTTGGTATTCACTGCGGCAAGCGAGACTGTCAATTAAATGGGACAAACTTTGTCCCCTGAAGGGTGAGTGGGGCATGGGGGATGAACAAGGTGCATGAGCATGGGAACTCGAAACAAAGACAGAATGAGAGTTTGCTGGATATGATAAAGGTGAACACTAGTTTGTGCTTTGACGCTTGTGAAATTTGATTTCAGCCGATCTGCTTGTGGGCTCATGTCTCAAAACATCTTGGATGGGCACGGGCTGTGCTCTTATGCTTTTGAAAACTGCAGTCGACTGATTTACAAAATGAAGAAACTGTAAATCACAGAGGCTGAGCTCCGTCGCTTTTTAATGCGGAATCTGTGGATGCACGCAAAGGTAAAACGTGGATAGCACAGGCCATAGGAGAAGCAAGTGCTCTGCTGACGCTTTCAACTAGGAGGTGAACCACTGTGGCCAATCTCAACTGCCCGAACAGGGCGTTTGGCGACCGCGTACCACAACTTCCAGATGATGTTTTGTCAAATACCGCACATTGCCGGTGGGAGCAGGCAGTGGACATCGTGGGGAAAATCAACCATCCTGTGCTGGAGACTCCATTCCACTGATGCGCCAGCAAACGGATGGCGCAGCCTGGCAGCGGCAGCTGCGATAATGTGTTGTTGGACAAGAGCACTTGAGTATATTGTCGTTGCTTATGGTTCATGTACATGTCGTGGCAGAAAAGGCAGCGTTTCGAAGCCTGCAAGGCCAATCGGCGGCCGCACCATATCCTGCAACCCGCGAGATCAGGGAACAGAGCAAGCAGCAGCAGGTCGGTGTCCAGTTGGCACCCGCCCCCAAGGCCTATTGGTCACCGTCCGACGACTTGCAAATGCTGATGGGACCCATTGCGGTGAGAGCACACTCATGCGCCCACCTTTGGCAGGCCGTCAAAGTCGACAATCTGGGCTGCCCGTCTGGCCACTCTGCGCCGCAGTCGTCAGCGTTGAATGCGCGCTTCTGTTGGTGGCCCGATCGCACTGGGACCGGGAGCAGCGCACAGTGTTTCTGGGCAGGTTGCGCGTTGGATGGGCATGACCATCGGTGAAAGGGCGTTCCCGATATGCAGACAGTATGCAGATATGCCTGTACCGGTACTGGTATCGGTACCGCCTCGTGCAGGCCCCACAAGGGCGCCGCGTCCCATGCAGAGAGATCGACGCACACCCCAATAAACCAGCATCTCCTAAGCAAATTTTCGGTGCGGTGTCTGCGGCCTTGCGATTTTCGGGGTGCGATAGCCACCTAGACGGCAGTGGTGGCGCTTGGCGGCAGCATTTCATGGCAATCATCAGCACCACCCCTCATGGGGAGTGCGACAACGGTGGTCTGACCTGGCTTGAGCCGGTGCGATAATCGCAGCCTTAGAAATTTGGAAGCGTCATAGTGGGAGCACTCACGGCACGGTAATATGGCACGTTGCGGATCACATCATGTAATGCAACTAGCTGGCGCACTGCCATCGACAAGATAGTGATTCCGATTTAAAAATGTAGGAAATTGGCACCAGCAATGCACTTGCACTGCTTACGGGTGTGGGGTGCTTCAATCCGAAGGTGGGAAGCCATCGACTTTTGTCCGTGCGAATTGGGCCCAGTTGGTGGTTCTGCAACCAGACGTTGTTCGATTTAGGGTGTTAAACTATAATTTTCTCACTATTGTGCCTAATTATATCATGGATAGAGAGATTGTATCAAGGACAAGGAAAACCCTGCATGGTGCCACCATGATGGTGGGCGGCAATGCAGTCAGAAATCTGTCTGCAACAAATGCAACGTGAGCTGCTGCCATGAGTGGTGACTCACAGGTCACATGTTGGATGGGAGTTGGTTTGAAAATTGGCTAAAGTGCTTCCTATATGTTGCTATTCTTCTCGCAGAATCTGTGGTGCGAGAATGGACATGCAACGGCCAAACTGAACCCGATTTGGGTGCATTTTGAGGTCGTGATCAAGCAGCATTGAGTTGTTTTGATTAACTGTCTTGGCAATGGGTTAGATGGTCAGTTTGGATGTCATTAGTTGAGCAATGATTAAAGGGAAGTTTGTGTGAATTTGGGCATGCGTGAGGGAAGGTGCATGCGCAGTATTGAAGTGTGAGAGGGCCACTGGGAGTCGTTGGTGAGGTATTGAATAGCAGCCAATGTCGTCGGGTCACTGGCGCGGGTGCACTATGTGCATGATATAATGACATGGTGTGATGAGGTTATGCCAATTGCCATCAAAACAGGGAGCAGCAGGTGGGCATGTCACGTGATGGTGGTATAGCCTCCGCCCCTAGTGACGAGTTCGTATGCCACGAGGCGCCATGGGGCGCTGTGGGGCGAAGTGTGATCGTGAAGGGCTGAAACGTGTGATGATGTATGCCTCGAAGTCCGATTTGTAAATTCAATGTCATTATAGATTTCTGGATGTAATCAGTGCTAAATATCAAGTAAAGGTGTTGTAAGTGTATCATGGATAGTGTAAGCAGATGTGGCGAGTTCTGACAAGAGTGAAGGATCCTACTATTATGGTTGTGCACGAATTCAACATGTGGCATGCCTTTTGCATGTGGCGATTCAATAGGAAGGGCCCCCAGCAGGAAATGGTGTAAAGTGGCAAGGCCATGAGATGACACCTATGACGAATGGTAGGAACATGGTGTAAGGTAGTCTGGGGGTGGGACAAAAAGGGGGTTCGCAGGTCTACTTGCTGCAATAGCCCCAACCACTTTGGGGTGTGGTCATGGCGAACAAGTGATATTGAAGTGAAGCCGTGCTGTGATTTAGGGATCGTTTGCGAAGGTTCTTGGTTGGCCTGTGGAGCAGTGCAAGCGTTGCTGTGGCTTGGCACATGCTTTGAAAGTTTATGATTGGTCGACTGACACACTCGATAATTGTGGACCGTGATTGGATGGTGCTGTAACAAACTGAGGCGTGCAGGAATCTGCGTTCCTATTGTGGATTGTTTCCATCGCGGGATTCAATTAATTGAATATTAACAGAATATTCTGTTACATTAACATTTACAGAATATTCTGTGTGTGAGCGATGATCTGAAAGTGCTTTTACTTTGTCAGTTGGGAAGCAAAGTTGGGTTATTGAGGGCCTCACCAGCGTGATCATTGTGTTGTCCTCCCTGATGAATATGGTTGTCCTCTTTAGCATGATGTCGGATGCAAACAAAGGGTGTTTTTGATACATCAGATCAATCAAATTGTGGTAGATAAATGTTCGCAATGATGACAATCGCTAATAATGCAATTCAACAAGGGCATATTAGCACCTTTTTGGCTGGATGCATTGTCCAAAGTTCGTAAAATATTCAACCCTTCTGCACTGGACAATTCAATCGTCACCCACATTTTCTTGCCGGAGCATTAGTTATGTTTTTCTTTGCTCTGCATCGTGTTCGCTGGTTCAGGGAGGGCTATGGAAACTGCATGCCAATTTTGGCGATGTCTTTCCAGGCTGTTCCCACCTGGGCGCCGCGGGAATGGCGACTTTGTGCTGTTCGATTGGCCTCAAATTGCCAGGTTTTCCACAGCGACTCGTGCATCTGGGGCCGCCAGACGCCGCCGGCAGTCCAGGGACCCTTGCGTCGTTGCAGGGCGAGTTCCAGACGCCTGTGTGTGCAGTCAGGGCAGTGCCCTGAGGGCACCCAACGGCGCCACGGGTTGTGGGGAACCCAGTTCCTGTTGGAGCCGGGCGGAGCGTTGTTGTATTGGCTGCTTCGCGTTTACCTTCTGCACCATTACTCTTTTCGTGAAAAAGGGCCCGGCATCACGTTACTATGCGAAAATGTTGAGTATTATACGGTAGGGTCCTCTGGCGTTACAGGCCAGTCTTCTTGCATCTGGTTCGTACACAGAATCGTCAATTCGGACATAAATTTTAAATGGGAAAAAACCTGGCTAAGGCATGGATGCACAATTCACTGTGAAAGGAGCGTGCCGTTGTGGTTTCCGTAGTGCCATGGTATTTGCAGATAAGGAGAATTGAATTGAATTGCCAATGCTAGTTCTTTTTCAGTGTTTTCATCCAGGGGGATTTAACGATGGCAAGGGAGGGGAAACAGTAACACTTCTCCTCATCCATAGCTCAGCAGGAGACACGTTTGCAAGGGCAAATACAATTTCTGGAAGGCAGGACGACTACATTAGGGGTCCCTATATAGCGGCCCCCAAATAGCGCCCCTGCACCCAGTAGCGCCCCCCTTTGGCCATGTCACGGGATGGCGCCGTACAGGACTGCTACAGTGCTTACGTTACAGCCACCTCAATGCATGCCATTCTGTCACACCACTGACCCAGGGATCCACCACACGATCGAAAACTACAAAACAATCCTTCGCCCACCCAACGCACTCAATGCCATGTGCTCAAGAATTCGCCGACCTTCAATGCCACCTCAGGGCGGCCAACCACCCTCAGGCGCCTGAGCAACCGCAAGGACTCCAGTTGCGCAAGCCCCACCTTCGTGATCTTGGGGAAACCTCTCAGATTCAAGATGGAGAGGGCCGTCAGCTGCGACAGCGCCGCCACACCTGCGTCCGTAACCTCTGGGCAGTCTTCTAAATGCAAGTCCGTTAGGGACCTGACAGTGGCCAATTCCCCAAGACTAGAATCCGTGATGCACAAGCAATTACTAAGGTGCAGATCCGTCAGACACTTAAGGCCGGACAAATAGCCGAACCCCTGGCCAGAGATGTTCTCGCAATTTGTCAAGTGCAGCCTCTTCAATGTGGCCATGTTGCTCAGCCCATCTGCGTGCTTGTCAGTCAAGCCAGATATGTTGCACATGCTCAAGCTTGTCAGGGCTGTCAGATGCGACAGCGAAATCAGTGCGTGTTCATCAAACTTGCGAACAACGATCTCTCCAAGAGTCAAAGAGATGAGATTTGTGACTTCCCCTATAAATTTCATGCCTTTATCAAGGGTCTCACAGTCGTGTATAGATAGTGCAGACAGCTTTGAAAATTGCTTCAGTGACTTCCACCCTCTCTCAGCAACCTTGTTTCCATCAATGCCAAGATGAGATATGCCGGTGAGGCATGCCAAGCTGTGCAGGGTGTCATCTGAGGCGTTGATTGGAAGGCACAGATCTGCCAAATTAGTCAGTGACAGAATATGAGCGACACCTCTGCTAGTGAAACTGGGAGTGTCTGCTAGGTTCAATGCCACGAGATTTGTCATCGTCCCCAACATCTTGGCTCCTTTGTCAGAAAGGGGGCTTGTTTGTCCAGAATGATAGAAATCAATCTTGGTCAAGGTTGACATCGCTGCAAAGTGCCCCATTCCCACATCTGACATACAACGTGTGTTGCTGACGTTGAGGTCCCGCAGTGCTGGCAGCAGTGCCAAACTGGAAACACAATGCTCTGTGATGTCCCAACAGTTACTCAGTTCAAGGGCTGTGAGGCGCGTCAAAGTGGCGATGACCCCAACTCCTTGGTCAGTGAGTTTGTGGCACCATGCCAGTTTGAGGCTCACAAGGCCCACCAGCTGACCCAAGTGCATCATGTCGCAACTGGCATGCCAAATTGTGGCATGTCTCAGCAGAGGCAATCGTCTGAGAAGGGCGACATTATTGGCACTGGCACCAGTCAGTTTGATGCTCTCCAGTGCAGAGAAGCGATTGACAGTGTGTTCAATCTTCTCTTGGAGATGATCCCCAGCCATCAACAGAGACTCCTTGGTCGCCTGTGTGGCCCACTGACACCAATGGCGGTCCACAAGGCGTCCTCGTTGCAGGAAAACGATGGCTTCATGCTCTGCTTGTACTGCATGCACCCGATCCAGCACGTGTGGGAACATGTGACCCCAATCCGGTGGTATGGCACAGCCCTGTCGCATCCAACCCAGATTGTTTGCAATACGATTACATGTAAAACCCAGATTTTCTATGCACGGAGATCAGAAACAAGATCACAGACACCATGCACCCCCTCCACTCAAAGGCAGCAAGCTCACAACCTACCTGTCTTTGTTACAACAAAAGTGCAGAATTTGGGACCCTGTTGGCAGCTGGCAGACGCAATTGATGATCTAAGCTATGGCGACATATTTGCATCGGTTACTTTCACCCACCATGGGCAACAATTTCAACACCCTGACCACCTAGTCCATGACGCCCTGCACTTGTGACCAGTACAGTGGGAAGTTGACATTGACAACAGGCATAAAAAATCTGGACTGCCCAGATGCCAGAAACATGCAGTGAAGCTCCAAGTCGTTCCAAATCCAGGAACTGGCATCGCTCAGGTGGCATTTATCATCTGTTGCAAGTGTGGATCCCAAGCACACCATGGGCAGCAAAGGTGCTGCGATGATGAGGGTGCTAGCAGTGTGATGGACAGAGTGTGAAAATCACTGGACAGTTGGCTTTGATGCCTCTTGTCTGAAGGTCACAACTTGAGTAAAATGCAATTGTCTCTTTGTCATTCGCACATCCATGGAAAGGCCACTAAAGCAAGTTGTTGGCATCATTTTGGACATAGCATCTGGTGCAAATGTATTTAATCCGCCACCAACGACGTTAGTCTTCAAAATCTACCAATTTTATTAAACTTGTGAGCCATTGAAAATTAATTTAATCTTGGCAAATAATTACGCAATTTGGGTTTGGTTTTGCAGGTTTCAAACTGTTGCCTCAAGAAATCACTGTCCTTGGTATGACCTATTCTCTTCCTACTTGGAGTGGTTTATTTGCAAGGTGCACCTTTAAGCTGCATTGAGGCGGCAAAACCCCAAATTGCGACCATGAATCTGCTTCCCCGGTCAGATGCAAGCCTTGGAATGAACTTATTACAGAAACCAGAACAAGGAGAAGGGAATCAGGCCAGGACAGTGGACTGAATACGATATTCCACTCTGGTTGCTTTGTTGTCACCTGCTGCTCATGCAATGAAGTGGGCACTGTCTGCCAATGCCAATTTCCACTCAAGCACAGCCAGATATCATATGACAACATCTTCATGTGCTATCATTTGACAAATTTTTGCCATGAACTTATTCTGTAGTGACTGGTGGACCCAGCATTGCATCTTGGAAGTGGTGTGACAGGAGAGATATACCAATACATGCACCGACAGTGTGGAACAACCGAGCAAAACAGAGTGGGAATCACACATTAATGGGCGGCCCCAATCCACACCACCAAACACAAATGCAGTGTTAGAAACACTGCCAATGCGCTTAATGTCCTTCATAAGTAGTGCAGTCTGCAACCCGTCCAAAGCTTGGCCGTGCTCACTTGGATTAACCCACCGGTCATGGCTCCTTCCTGCACCCCTAAGCCATGAATACCGCCAAGAGCAGCCTGGTGACAGCTCAGCCTTCTGCAATGGGTGCGCGCACACACAAAACGCTGCAGTGTCAAGGGGGCTCAGGGGTAAGCTTCTTCCTTCATTTCCAGGAGATGATTTGGTTGGGAGAACAGATAGGTAGCATGGACATTTTGCATGACTCTCTGGACAGTAGGAATGGCACAATTTTATTAGGTGTCTTTCTGTTGAGGATGCATTCACATTCGACCACACACAATGGCATTTGGCAATCTTCCTGACATGGGTTGCCCTGTGCTGCACACATTTTGTATTGCACTCAAAGGCATCGCCATCATCTTCCACAGCGCAGAGAGCAGTCTGACATGATGTAAGTTGGCCCATTGTGTGTGGCACGTTCTCCCTTGAGATGAGCAACTCTTGAGAGTGGGCGCCATACCAACATGCTTGCAATCAAGATGCCATGGAATCACACTATGCATATAAAATTATGTGGGCAAGGCACCTGACAGTAATGCATGTGAATACAAAATGTGATCCAATGGATCCAAAAAGTCGGACAGCTGAACATGACCATGGTAACAGCCAAGGCTGGAAAATGGCGATTCTATACAGCACCGACTTCACAGACATTCGATTCCATCGTTTTTCAGAAGGAAAGATGGAATGCTCGAAGAAAAAGACGAAACAAATAATCTTGCCAAAATTCCTATCCAGAGAGCGGAACACAACCACAGCCGCTCTTCAAGAGCCGTAAAATCAGTCTGGCGACCCATGCTGCCAATTTCGGCGCACACCTTGGCGGGCGCGGCCCTCTTTCGTGGCAGCGGATGGTGGACAGGCTGCACCAAACGAGCGCCCACCGCGTCCCGGGAACCCGATCTCACAGACAGCGAGGACAACGAAGACTTCCGCCTGTGTGGCGTGCACGCCCGGAGACGCGAATGCGGGGCCGTTTGCCACTGTGTGGGCCAAACGCCTTGAGAGCAGTGCCAGCGGCTGTGCTGCAGGCAAAGTTAAGCAAACCAGCACGGCCCGTCAGGAGCGCCGCTTCAAGAAGCCCACAGGACTTCAGACAGATCAAATGGCTGTAGCTGCAGCGAGAGCAGCGCGGCATCCGCTAGGTGCAACGCAAATTCGTGAGCAACGGATATCCCGCGCACTTCCGGCTACTTCGTGCTCGCTGACAAGACCACAGGCACAGAGAGCAGCACGCCCTGTCTACCTGACCAGGGCGCTTAACATCGACGCTCTGAGCCCCCGTTTGGCCCTTTGGGCCGCAGCCGGCTAGCGCCCAAGAGACGTCACGTCCAGGGTGGGGATGAAAGGAAGCCATCTCCAGTTTCGTTGCTGTGTCCATTGCGATTAACGACCAGTTCATGGGTTATAAGAGCAAGGCTGCAGCAAATTTATCTTGTGCCTTGTGCCGCAATACGCAGGACCCACACAACGTGTTCAATCAACCCCGCAACGTACACAGATTGCCGCCTGCCCAGGGGGCAGCCAGGTCCATTTTGTCCATTCGTGCACATGACCGTGCGTGCAGAACGCTTAGTCTACCATGCTTAGTCTACCAGCGCCCAAGTCTCAACCCCATCCCACTGCTCTACGACCCTGCAAACATCCAAACACAGCTATGCAAGCCGCCCAGGGCTCCCAACAACCTTGTTGTCTCTTGCACTTGCACCAACGCTGCATTTGTTTGTTATATCTCTGAACAAAACATTCTACTTGTGCAGGCGCACGTGCGAATTCTGATCACCTGTGTGCACCATGTGACAAATCCCTGACCTCAACCCATTATTAGCCACGTCAAGCAGAAGGCATCCAGCAACGTCCCGCATCAGAGCTAGTTGTACAATGGGCTTCGACCCCGATGAGCCAAAACTGGTGAGGATGCTGCCCCTGTGGGAAATGTAAAGGCAGGCACCTTACTCAATCGGAATGAAAGCGGCAAACCCGATGGCGATCATACTGCCATCTTCATGGCGATTTTCTTGTGAGGGTTGTACCCTACAAGTTTGATGTCGTCCATAGTGAAAGCATCAATGTCTGTGACTTCCTTGTTCAGCTCCAACACCTGTGGGGAAAGGCACACACAGTCGGCAACAGCCAGCATGCAAGCCATATGCTCGGAGAGGACTTCACAGCACTCTTCTGTTCCATAGGTTTTAAACAAGCGTGCGAAATTGCAACAATTGCTCAAAATTCTGTGAATATTCTGGACTATTCAAATAGGGTTTTGACAAAAAAGATAACATCCCAGCAAAAGGAAAATTGGTACCAAGCAAATCAGATATTTTCTTTCAGGCCCCTTGCACAATTTTCAGGCGTTTGGAGTCGTTCTCAGCCATAAGAAGTGCTGCTGTGCCCACCCCACTGAATACGCCAATCCGCAAATCAATGGCCACAGCACCCATGGACAACACACAGCACTTAACAAAAGCATTCCAAGAATATGGAGACACTGAACACAAGGGTGCATGGCTGTTGACCATATTACCCAGACTGTACATATCATTTTGCAAAGGTGTCCTTGCATTTCCCAGAAGTTGCGAATATCTCTTTCCCACAATCATGCAGTTTATCTCAGTTTCCATGTTCTGCGCAGGGGATGTTGACTTCAGAAGCACATGGGCTCTCCTTTGTCACGCAATGAATTTTCAGAGACAGCGATGTGTATAACACACATTGTGAACTGAACACATTGCCCATTGTATGATCACCTTGAACAACATTCTTGCACACCATGGTGGAATGTCACCCACTGGATCTTAATTTCACTGGAATGGCAGATACCATGGTGGTATGAAAAGGCTTCCAAAGATCTACTCGCTGTACCACCAATCGGATCTGAGCACCAACCAATTCAGGCTGCATGTATTTGGTGGTAACTCTGGGCTTGTCTAACACGTCCTTCTGAAAATTGTGGTGCATTGATTAGCGATCCAAATCACCTAAAAGATGGCATGAAAGAAAACGAAAAGAAATAGCTAGTTTGACATGGGTCCACCCAGAAGAACCCACCGGAAAGTGCCTCGGCGAGTTCTTGAGCTGTTCCTTGAGTGGCTCCACATGGTTGCAATACACATGCGCATCTCCCAGCGCATGTACAAAGTCGCCAGGCTTCAGCCCACAGACATGTGCCACAAGGCACGTCAGGAGGGCATAGCTGGCGATGTTGAAGGGCACACCCAGACCCATGTCGCATGAGCGCTGATATAGCTGGCAGGAGAGCTCTCCATCTGCCACATAGAACTGCGCAAAAGGCAAACACAGCCTAACCAGTCACAAGCCAAGCACCTAAACAGGAATGGCCTCTTTTGCACAAGCACCATCAGGGTTTAGCCTCTCTAGCCAATTTCCAGTCATTTAGTCAACATCAACAATTTTCCTGTTGAATTCTGGAAATGCGAGGGTTGGAAACGTACCAAATATGAGCAAAGGGCCAGATTGTGCATCGCAAGTGTTCATCTTTGGGCAAATTTTTTTGTCTTTGTATCATTGCTGACTGATGAGAAGGGGAACATGCCACGCAGAATGCAACACTGACAAAAGGAAGGGTGACAGCAAACACTGAGGAAGGCGGAGCGCGCCCACCTGGCAGAACATGTGGCAAGGGGGCAGTGCCATCTTGCCAAGGTCAGCTGGGTTCCAGGCAGTCATGACAATCCTACGATCGTTCGGATTGGTCTTGATCTTGTGGATGACATCAGCAAGCTGGTCCACACCTTGGCCTGCCACAATCTGGAAAACGTCAGGCATGCTGGCAAACAAGGCAACGGACCCAGTCAAGCTCCTGTGTGACAAGCACAGGTGCCAAAAAATAAGATGGCTTGGGCAGAGACAGCGCAAGGTGAACGAATAGTGGCGGCAATAAAAGGCCACAAAAAATTGTGGCAATGGCAGCATGTGCCCAATCAAGTGGTCAACAGTTGCTGCAGCCCATATCTGGTCTGTACTTCAAGGGTAATTTTCTTCAAAGAGTGGGTAGTTCGATGTGGCCGATGCAATTAGTTTAAGAATACAGTGTGTTGGAATGAGAAAGACTGCAATATGGAGGCACATGCAACCAACTTTCACACACAATGTAAGCACCTCTTCTCCAGGACATTTTGCCATGCAGAAATGTGTAATTTGGACACGAATATGGATCATGCAGGCAGCTGAGAAATGGTGCATGGGCAAGGGACATGACGTTCTATAATGGTGAAAACATGCTTGCAATTTGAGCACCACACACACACACACACACACACACACACACAATATTAGCACACATATGCATTCTTCCAAACATCTCTTTGGCTTGCTGGATGATTTCTGTCCTTCCTTTGTTCCGCCCATTTCTGCTGGGTTCCATGGGAAAACATTGTTCTGCAGAGGCACCCACAACATTGCCTGAAATGGCCTTATTGGCACAGAGGGCTCAAGTGCGTCAATCTATGTGGGCTGTTACACCTCAACATGCAGAAAGTGCTTGCATTCCTATTAGGATTGTCCTAAGAAACCCACTGCATAACATGGGCTAGCTTTTATAGCACTGCTGGGTCTGACTGCCATGAAGCATGGTGGTCACACTTCGGATTCACATTAGAACATGAACAGTATTTTCTGCAACCAACAGCGAAATGCGAAGGCCAGCAATCACCAAACAGCTTTTACAGAAATAAAGGGCGATGACTGTGACCACCGCAAGTTGTCCCCAACAAGCAGCATAAATATGTAGACATGCATTGAAAGATGGGCATCTCTAGTTTATTCTTCAATTCGAATTCTGAAAGAGGTGGCAACACAGCCCAAAGAAAACAATACAAGGCGAGTTGTGCACTGCTCACCTGTGTAGTCTGTGCGCATATCAACATATTTTGCACCAAAATGGCGCCATTGGAATCCATAGACGGGCCCCAAGTCCCCTTCCTCCCTGTCAGTGAGCCCCACACGATCAAGAAACTCCCTTGAACCATTGTCGTCCCAGATGTGGACATCCTTTTCAGCAAGGTTTCTGGCGTTTGTGCTACCACTCATGAACCACAACAGCTCCTCAACCACACCTGAATTACACAGGAGGCGCTTAGTCACAAAGAATGCATGTGGGAAGGAGCGGGAAAAGCTCACTAACATCCTGCACAAGTGCATTATGCATTGATGTGTTGGAACCAAGCACATCTGTGTGACGAACAGTTTCTATATGCAGATGTTGTTGATTTTGCATTGCCTGACAGACTTGAATTGTTACTGTTCAGATGCACAATGGGCAAAGCAACAATGGCCTCTGGCACGGATGTGCCCAAATCTGTCAAGCGTGGATCACATTTCTTGGTTCTCGTGTAGCTCCATGGACTACGTCAGCAATGTCAATGCCATGCAATCAGCTAGAGGTGCTAATTGCCATACAGAACAGCTCATGGCTAGCCTGCAATTTTGGTGCTTTCAATTTTGCTCTACAATCATATCACACATAATTGTGCAGCGACTGGCTGCTTCAAAAATCTCGCAATTATATTCAAACTGTATTTGGGGTTTGCAGACATAGTCACCAGCTGCCAGTCTGACTAAGGGGGAAAAGCTCAGTTCCACCCCACCTCTCCAGAACACTCGTTTTGTGGTGAGCAGTGGAAACGTGTGACGCAGGTTGAACCTCATTTGGCACCCAAATTTAGAAAACGTGCCCGTGCCAGTGCGGTCACCCCTCCTCGCGCCTGTGGTAATGATGTCCTTTATGAGGTTGAGGTACTGTCAAGCACAGTGACACACTGAACTGTTGGATCAAAGGACGAAACGAATGAAAGAAATTGAAGGAAGGATACATGTTGCACGGGTAACACACACGACCATTGCACTCCATGCTGTGAACATGAATCCAAACGCCCCAAGTGCACAGGGAATGACATGCAAATCAGAACAACAAGCATGACAAGCTGAATGCTCTTGGAGGGAGTCTGGACATCCTGCTTTATGGATACAGGCACCAGCTTTTGATTCAACAACTCATCAACTGGCAGGTGGATTGCTTTGTGGTGGTGGACACAAATCAGTTTTACAGGAGAACTGCCTGGTGGTTGACACAAATGGGGCTTGTTCAGATATAATCATTGACTCACAAGTCCCAGCAGCCACTCCATAGCAGCAGCCAATCTTGGTTGCCTGGCGAGTGCGTTCTGCAGCACCCCAAAGTCCTGGATATATTTGCAGAAACACATAAGGGGGAACAGGACTCCTATGGATGCGCTGATGTGGGCTCATGTCGTGACCTGCTTAGTTACCCTTATCCATGTTCGTTCAGGGCATCAGCCCCTAAGCCATCCTGCTTTCACTGCTGGTTTGTGTGCAGTTAAGGTCTCTGTTGTCACATAACTGTCTGTCCGGAATCGCTGGTCGAGTGTACAAGCTTCGTTCTTCGCTTCTATCAGGAATCCTACCTCATGAGAATGCCCATTTTGCCGATGCCACCACTATCGCATAAGTTTGGATGGTTGGCAAGTTGGATGATTAAACTGTCAGCACCACAGGCACAGAGTGGCCTTTGGTTTCGCAAATGACTACAGTTGAAGTTGCAACGTCAATTTAAGTTGACCTTTGCTCTGTCGATCAAAAACGATCGCTGGACTGCCTTGTGTGCAAGAGAATCACTTTAACATATCTGAAAGTCATTTAAACAGAGCATAGCCTGAACACCTGCAAGGCAACAAATGATTTATCTCGATGGTTTGAAGCCGGTTTGCGAGTCGTGTTACATGTTGTGTTTTCTCTCACCCTGCCTTTGGAGCACATCATAGGAAAAGCAAACAGCCAGCCGTCCCACCTGCTCCTCCTCGTGGCCGCACGCCGCTCCCGGCGGCATCTCCACCGGGCCCTGCCCCGCCGGCGCCAGCACCATGAAGCTGTACCGCTCCCCCTCGGGCGAGTCCCTCGCTGGCACCGCGGCGGCCCACACCCGGAACCGCTCCGCCGAGGCCTCCGGGAAAAATGTATCGCATTTTTTGGCCCCTTCTTCATCCTGCTCCACGAGCGTCATGTGCACTCCGGTGCACAAGGGCGACCTCACCGCAGCCTCGTAGACCTGGCCGCCGCCGATCACGAAGATCCATCCCAGGTTGGAGGCGTGCGGCTCCCGCGCCAATCCCCCCAGCGCATCATCCAATCCACTGAACACCAGCACGCCCGGCGGGAATGCCGAATCGCCATGCCCGGACGATGAATTAAAATCCTGATCATGATTGCCCATCGCGGATCGCCTGCTGAGCACCACATTCAATCGGCCGGGCAGCGGGCGGAACTTGGCCGGGATCGACTCCCAGGTCCGGCGGCCCATGACCACGGCGTTGATCTTCCCAGCCTCGGGCGGCGTCTGGGTCAGCCTCTTGAAGTGCGCCATGTCGCCCGCCAGGCGCCAGGGCAGGGACCCCCCCGCGCCGATGCCCATCGACCGGTTGGCTGCCACAACGACGTGGAAGGGCCGCGGAGAATTGAAATCTGCATTCCCTGCATCCCCGCCATCCCCGGCAACCCCACAGTTCATCGCTGGCGGCCAGCGGCGTCTGAGTGGATAAGAGGGGCAGAGATGGGCGAGGGCGGGGCGCAGGAGGCGGGGAGGGGGGCGGGGCAGGAGGGGGCGGCCCAGGCGCGAGCACGCCAGCGTTGCTCGGGCAGCCGCAAGGGCTTGGGGTGGGCCCCCCCCCAAGGCGGGTTTCTGGCAAAATGGCGGGAGATTCGGTGAATTAGATGCGCACCAGGGCCTTAGGTTATCATTTCATTGAAACAAAATCTAAATATAATATAATATTACAGTGTTTTAGTTACACGCACTGAGTCACTTTATTGGTTGAAGTAAAATTAATTTTTTCGATTGCCTAACTTGTTTTGTCGTTTTTTTATTTGAAGTGGTAATTAAGGATATTTAATTGGCTCATTAACGTCATTTAATTTTTTGTGGGGTCGTTGAAATGGGAAGGAGGTTTGCGCGGGGAGACCTGTGCGTGGACAAGGGGCGCAGCGACGACTTGGGCGCCGCGCGGCGGAGCGCGGGGCGCGCACGAGGGCGCCGGGCTACATTGGTCGCGGTCTGCCCCGCTTCTGAGCGCCGCTGGGCGGCTACGAGCCGGCGGAGATTGGAGCGGCGCGGCGTGGTGGGTCGGTGGCGCGGCGGCCTCGCGGAAGCAAGGGCTCGGGGGAGGGGAAGGAACGCCGGTCAGCAGGGAGCGTCGCAAGGGTATGGCGGACGCTGTGTGTCCACTTGCGCGTCTGTTTTTGTGTCAGGCTGTGACCCGTCTTGAAATGCCTTCGACAAGACAGGGCGACGGCCATGTACATTGTAGGCAGTCACGGGCATGTATATATCCAAGAACGTTCTTATGTCCCGCATCCGTTCATTTTGTCAGCTCGCCACCCGGGCGTCAGGTGTGCCGCTGCGTCTCCGGGAAGACGCGGCTTGCGTCCCCGGTTCAGCACAGGCGATCACGATCCAGTCTGGATGGCAGCGGGGCACCGTGCTCCCCGGCAATCCATCCCATCACATTTTGAAGCTTGTAAGATCGCTGATCCCGCACGTACAAGGCGTTGAGGGCCATAATTCCATTCATTTCGTCCCAGCTGCAGCCGGGTGCTTCTGCAGTCGGGTTGAACATCCCACCTTGCAGTGCCACGAAGAGGTACATCAACCTCAGAACGATTGGTTCGAGGACTGGGTGGTCGCGAATGGCAGTAAGCCAATGACTGGCGATCCAATTGGCAAGCATTTCGACGGTCCGTCACTTCCTTAGGGAAGCAACAGGCTGGATGATGGCAAGCATAAACTGCCCATGTATTTCGCTGATAGCTTTCTTCTACGAATCCGATTGGTCCCGATTTTGTACACTTGCCACGCGACCCTTCTACCAATGCCAAGAAAACTAACTGCAAACCAAAACTGGACATGCCGCGGAATATGTGTGTTTCCTGCAGATCAACACTATAATCTGCCACCTTTGAGAAAGAAAGCAACCACACTGAAACAAATGTCTGTGCATGGTAAAACGATGCCATTTGGTGGGCATACGCAGCCAGACCATTATCAAGTATTGTTATGTGGCATACCAAACAGGCATGCTAGTTGCATGGCCTTTCGGTTGACGTTGGTGATGGCCTAATTGTGCAAGAATATTCCTTTGTAATTCTGCGACAAAATTAACCCAACCAGATATCGATCGATGGATTGGGTTTTCTCAGGTACTGTGAGCAACAGGCGTTCCAACGGCCAGGACGCATGGGCAACAACTGTACACTTTGGAATTTACAGGTGCACGCCAATAAAATAGGAAACAAGTGGGAGGGTGCTCTCATCGTGAATGATGGCACTTGGAGGAGAATTTTGCTCTTGGGGGCCAGTCTGGGTGGAAAAAGTGCAGCCCCTGAACAGGATCGGTTCTGGAAATCGTTGTTGAATTTGAAATCTATCTCATGCAAGTCCACCTGTTCTGTGGCATGTTATGTAGGCAAGCAGGAGAATGACAGAGAATATAAACGACAAGGATGTTCTCTGTTGTCCAAAGTAAACGCCAGATGAGGGTTGGCAACTTTGCGCTGCATGGGACAGAAATTTCAGGTGAAGACCAAGTTTCTAGTGCAGGGCATGCCATCCAATGAGGGAGCATTGATATGATGACTATGTCAACCTATGGTGACAATACTTAAAAGCCCTTTATCAGTTTTTCTGCAGTGCTTCTTATTTCTGTTTTGTTCAATGTGCAACAGAGATACACATATTCGAACAGTCCGTTCTCCAAGGCCACACTAGAGAGGATGGCTGTTGGGTTCTGGCTCACATGGTCATGTGTACCTGCCGGGGATTCTTTCAGTTCCATTATCTTTGGCTCCTGTTCTTTTGTGCTGGGATTGGGTACTTGGCCGGAAGGGCATGAAACTACAGCATTGCAAAACCTGTAGAAGACGATGCAAAAGGTTCTGATGCCAACTGGAGTGGAAAACTGCACATTGCGGAATATGTGAATATCACAAATGGCAGGAATCCATGCACACAGCTGGCAAAAAGTTGTCAGGCACAACAAAGGAGGTGACTCCAGTAATTTCTCCTGCTTGTCACTGCAAAAGACATCGATCGCTGGCCAGCAGCCCACGCCACTGCCCCAATAAAACCTTGAAGGGAAGACCTTCATACGTTTTGGTTTGGTGGTCGATGTGGGTTGGGGTTGGAGGGGCTGGAGACTGGGGTTTGGAGGGTTGCAACCTGATCTTCTTCTGTGATGCAGAAGTGTGTAATCAAAAGTGAACAATAGTGACCAAGAATGTCATCTCAACGAAACCCATTGACTGACAGCTTGGTAGATTTAGCGCGGATTGCCCTGCTGTCACAGGATGCTGCTCCAAACGTGGCCCTGAGCATGCTTGAAAACCCGTTTGGTGTAGAATACCGAGTCACAACTTGCAGACAGGGGACGCTCTGCAGCAGAGTGCTGACTGTCCTTGTGGCAGTATTCCTCGAGTGGGTAAGTTGGTGTTGCTTGCTCGCTTCGTTTTGCCTCGATTGATGACATTGTCTTTGTGTGTGCAGAATGCACAGAATGGGGTGGCAACCATTGCTGGGTTTTACACTGGGTGGAAAACGTTGTCAGCTGTGCTCCCCACCAAGTGCGATGAAATGAAGCCATGTCTAGCGCTTCTGCTGCCCATGGAGGTTTGACCTCAATGGGCAGCAAAAGAAGCTGAACATGTAACTTATGTCTCATACTGTATGCCCATACTATATTTGATATAACTTATATCAAATGTCGCTCTTCTGCACTGAACGACTGCATTTGCGGGTGGTAGAATGGAAGATGTGTGGTCTGCAAGTGCACCAACCATGGACACGAGGCAAGGGACTCGTTTCTGGAGATATGTTCAATTTCATCTTCCATGCAGGGGTTGAGAATCTGAATTCGAGGTCGAGGTGCTGGCAGATCGCTGCGGAGGTGGCATCCACACAACTGCCAACTTGGATGTGCAATCAAAACATCCACAAGTAACCCCCTCCCGCTGAGACCTTGAAGTCGATTCATTCATTATTCTGGCTGTTCACGTTCTTTATAGCTCAGTTCGATTAACATGTGAGCATCATGCTGAACGTGGAGTCTTTGCAGGTCGGTGGTTGGCGGATCGTGGCAGCTGCAGCAGCGGTGCACCTGCTGGCCTGGGCGCGGTCCCTGCGGCACGAGAGCCTGGTGGTGCTGGACGACATCGGCATTCGGCTGGAGTCCCACCGGGCATGCTGGCCGCCTTCTAGGACCTTCCTGGAGGTCGACAGGATCGAGGCCATGGTTCTCAGCGAGGTCATCTCCCTAAGCGGCGTCAAATTCTACCTTGTGTTCAAACTTAAAGGCCGTTCAAAGCTGGCCGTCGCCTTCAGGGAGCTGGCGCCGAGGTTGCACATCCTCAAGGAGGTGTACCGGGGCGTGCATGCCACAGTTTTCTCAGGAGGCGAAAACGCCAAGGAATGTTGCTGAGGATGTGCCACGGAGACCTGCAAAGTGTTGCATCGTGGCAAATGGGCACAGCACTGCACTGAAAAGTTGCAGAATTGTGTGGCGGAGTGCACTGGAGTGGATGTGCAGTTGGGCACTATTGCGTTTTTGACATCTTTTAACTATCTAAAGCACACTGTCAGCGGTTGCCTATTTTCTTAACAATGTTACTATCAATTCAAAGTGTTCCGAATATCAATAGATGATGGCTTTGGTACTGTTATGGTGGAGTTTAGACTTGATGGAGAATGCTCAAGAGAGATCTGAGCAAACTCTGAGGATAAGACCCACACGCTTCCACAACTTCAGCGCAGGGCGTGCAGGGCACACCACTGATTGAAGCTTGAGGACGCCACAGGCAGCACGGCAATCCTGCGATCCAACTTTTGGGATCCCGATTTTGGGTCGGCGAATTGGGATCTCCAATTATTGGTGCAGGTATTGCAACAAGACTGGTAGATCAGTGGCACAAATACAATCCACGAATTGACATCATCATTTTCGTCGTCACCACTGAAGGGGATACGCAGCCGATATCGCCCGTCCAATCAAATTCACACTGTACAACCCTGACCGAATTTGTTCAAGAGCTCCACTACCGAAAGTGGTCTTTGTTTCTTTGTCGTGCTGTCAGCCCGCCCTGCTCTTGGCACAAGCAACGTGAACATACCCTGGGGCTAAACTGCATGTGATAAGAAAATTGCAAGGCAAGGAAGCTTAACTGGAGTCACAAAGTATGTTGCAGGCCTCGAGATATAGGCCACGTTGCAAACGCGGACGGTGCGATCAAGCAGCCATCAGACCCTCTCATAGCCTGTCGGCAGCGTACTTCTCGGCGACCTCCATGGCTTCTGGAAGCTTCTCCAGGTTGGGCCCCTGGCCCTGTGCCGCATTGGGTTTACCGCCTCCCTTGCCACCGATCACGGCGAGGGCCTCCTTGACCCAGTCCCCGGCCTTCAGCTTGCTGGTCATGCTGTCCGGCACAGCCTGCACAAGGGGCCAACAGCAGACAGGGTGATTCCCTTTCTTTCGATTCCAGAATATTGCATCAGCAGGCAGAACTCATGTTTCATCCTCCGTTTTTTTTTTTTTTTTTTTCTTTTGCCTTTCACCGAAGCCAGCCCGGCCGCCTCCTATGAGGCTTGCCTGGATCGCAAGCTTGGTGGTTGAGACTGCAACAGTTCACATCACGCTTTCGGGGCAACTTTGAAAACAATGCAACACTGACTGGGCGGGGATATCCAAGCATACAGTGAAAAGCGTACTGATTGGGCAACAACTATGCGAACGCCGTGTCAAATGGCTATGTCACATTGTTCTCCAAGGGACCATTCCCTCACGCATTGCAGCACATGGGATGCAAGAGAAACGAATCGCTTTTGTTTCTGGCAATAGGCACACAACGACATGGACCAGCTCGTTTCACTGGGCTGACTTGAAACACAAATCATCACAGCGCAAGTCGATTCCGAGTGATTGGCTTCAGATCAAGCTCACCCCATACGCAAGCGCCTTGCCCTTTGCCTCGTCCGCAGTGAAAACCATCAGGCAGAGGGTCCCGTGCTTGGCTTGGATAGCTCCCACGGCCTCCTTCACTGCGTTATGGTCCAACCCAACTTCCAGCCGCAGGACGAGGTGGCCCTTGGCGCCCGCCACAGCCTGCATAGCGTTGAGAGTTCTTACGGCACATCTGGCAACGCCTATGCACGAAGTGCCGGAAACAAGTACACAGCGTACAACATAACATTTGCAGCGCGCGTGGACAGCATGGAAACGCTGTCATTGCGCTTGCCTTGCATGCTGCGACAGCGCCCATGACCCAAATTTGGCAATGATGGGCGCCTCATGTACAGCAGCACTGTTTGTGGCCAAGTGATGCTGCCTGAAGCTGTCACATCAGGGAATCCTGCTTGGTGTCATACACAGACGCCTCCTTGGGCAACATCTGGCGAATGTGGGCGACTGGGTGACTCCATGGGCCACTCTGGACGACAGCAGGCCATGGGCAGCACAGGCAATACCATACTTGGACAGGACATCCAGACAGGCAACAAAATTTGCCTTGGCAGCGTTCATCGAATGACCACACCATCCCAATGAAAGCTAACTCGGATACTACATGACGCAGGGCAGGGCAGGAGGGAGGAACCTTGAGTTCGATTGCTTTTGTTTGTCAAGGATACGCACATCTATTCATGGGAATTTGAAGCAGCACTTTCCTTCCACCTGCTGGGCTGTGCCAGGAAGCTTTAGGAACGTTGCAGATAGGGTGCCATTCTGGAAGCTACAGATGGCAGCTCCATGTCGCCATCTCAAGGGAAACAACCCCTTTGCTGCAACTGTTGATAGCGCACAAGCACACACAGCTGTGGCGCTTCAGAGTGTTAAAACCGCCTGTAATGTGATCAAAAACATCAAGCACACACAGAATAAAAGTGTATACAATGTTTTGGTCAGTGTGGACATGCGCTGTCAAGGAGCAACGGTCACAACATCTATAGACATTCGATCCAACAGCCCATCTCACCTCGTCAGCTGCTGCCACTGCCTCGGTCACTGCAAGCTTCTTGTTCTTCTCTGACTCTTCCTTTTCCATCTGGACGATCTTCTTTGCCTGGGCCTGCAATCGGCCCCTCAGGGCAGCCTTGGACGCTGCAGAGATGACAGCCGTCTCAACCCGCTGCTTCAGTTTGTTCACCGTAGCAACCAGCTCTGGTCCCACGAGCGCCTCGGCGGCTGCCATGTCAGCCTCCAGTTCACAGCAGTCTGAAATGGCTGTCTCCGCCTCATCCCCTGAGCAGGCACACTGTCAGCCCTGGACAAAACGCTTGATTATCGCTTTGTGCATTTCTTTTTTCATTGCATTCATCCCTACATGTCAAAGACTGACTGTTCATGGATTAGGACATGCTGAGCAATGTTCAGAAGCACACGCTGGCCCTGCCTGTGTTTCTGCTCTTGTTTTCACCAAACATGAAAAGCCTGCCAGACTTGATGAGCAATAGAAGGGGTTCACGTTCATGCATGTGCACCACAAATCGGCTTCTTGTCTCACTGAAATGTATAATAGAACTGACCACCATCGTTCTCAACAGCCACAATGGCGATGACAATGGACGCATTGTGGTTAATAAAGGCTCAGGATTTTGTGGCACTGTTGTTGCAGCTAAACCCAGATAATCACCCACAGCGCCCAGGGCATGAATGGAACCGTCACAAAGGCACCCTGCGGCATTGTCCATGACTAAGACACACGTTATGGGCCCTCTGCAGCCTTGCCATTACACTCAACCAATACTTCTTGGCGCAAGGCACAATTGAATTCCATATCGTGCAGTCAGCGGAAGTATTTCAGCAAACCCTTGGTTGGCAGCTAATTTAGAAGCAGATTAACAGCACAGTGCTGGGATAACTCAATCAGTCCACTGGAGATCCAGCTCACCTGTCATCGCAACCACACGCCGCACACCCTTGGCAATGCCCTCTTCAGAGATCAGAACAAAAGCCCGGGCGTCTGCTGTGTTCTTCAGGTGTGTGCCACCACAGAACTCGATCGAGTAGTCCAGGTTGGATTCTGCCGTGGGGTCCATGAGGAGCTCCTCCACAGGCCTCCCAATAGATATAACACGCACTGGGTCTGGGTAGGCCTGCCCAACATCCCAACATCGATTAAAACAATGATGGTGAGAATTCACTGTTCATGAACATTAATACCACTGTGTGCACAATTTGAATGATTGTGGAATGCTGTGGGAAATTTTTGCAAATTTGCATCGCACAATGACAATGATAGTGTCCCTGAGACAGCAAAAGAAAAGATGAAAAAAACAGTATGGCAAAACTTGCAGCAAACATGCTAAACCTTCAGCACAGCGGCGCAAATATACTGATGCTGCAGTCCAAAGTCTGTGGCTCCCAGGCCGTGGCACCAGCCACTTGGCTGCTGGCTACACTGCCTACTTGTTCACGCCACTGGCTGCACGATCAGAGCAATGGCAAACAATGCATCTTGACTGTCGGCTCATAGCCCAACTACCCATTGCCGATGTTGCCCAGCATGCAATACACATTCACAATTCACCACCCAACCACGCCATTCTCACCTCACCGAACACAGCACGGAGGCCATTGATTTTCCTGCCTTCGCTGAGGGCAATCTCCTTGCCGTAGATGGGCAGCTCCTTGCCGATGGCGTCCCTGCACATGGCCTCGACTTCCCCCAATTTTGCAGCATCCACAACGCCATTGTTCGAGAAATCGAAGCGCAGGCGATCGGGGAGCACTATTGAGCCCTGTTTAGCAGACAGGCATCGGCAAAGATCAGTGCCTAACTATCCACAGCAGATGTCCAGCGTTCAAGTCAACACATTGTCCTCAGCAACTTCACATCACTATTGTCCACACTGAGTTTTTTGGTTCTGTATTCCATTCTTTGATAGGGTTTTTATAAGGACATACTGTAGAGTTCAAATTGCTCAAAGCCAAGCACAAGCACACACACTAGGCATGTCTTGACTGGGAATAGTACTGCACTCTGCTCTGCCATCTGTTGACAGCATGAGGCGACTGCACACTTGCCAGATACACACAGGCATATCACAAAACAGATGTTCATGTCAGACAGTTAATTGTGAAGTACAAGTCAAATACAGCGTGCTCTTTGTCGATGCATTATTGAAGAAGTATAAGCTGTGGTATTCAGCTGTTGTGAGGTGACCCAGCACATCCAAAAGCCCCTGGAGACAGTGTCAGCTTCTTCAGGGCACACACTGCAACAGCATTTCCATCAATTTCATGCACAAGTTCCACGATCCCGAGCCCAATAGATGTGCTAAAGGAAAGGCGCCAGAACAAACACCACATCACTGCAAGCACCTCCACATGCCTTCAAACCCCATGCTTTGCATTACTCCCCTTGTTGACAATGTTGACAAATGCTGTCTACGGGTATGTGTGAGACTCAAGGGCGCCCACCTTCTGCGCAACATGTTCCCCAAGGACTTTCTTGAGTGCATGGTTGACCACATGCGTGAATGTGTGGTTAGGAACGATCTTCCTCCTCCTGGCGTAGTCGACCTTGCAGGTGGCCTCCTCCCCAACAACAAAGTCACCGGAGGCCTCTCCCACATGGAGGATGTACCCCGCAGCTACACGACAATCTGACACTGAGAAGCTACCATTGGGTCCGGCAATGACACCTGTGTCTCCCACCTGAGAAAACCAGGATATCACACAAAACATGTGATGCTGTTGGGCTGCTCCCATTGTTTGGTGGCAATGGAGTCATTTTTCTGGCACGTTGCCTCTGAACACAGTGGGTGGATCCCAGACTGCACATCACGGACATTGTGCATTTGCTGCTTTCCACACAATTGTGTGCATTGCATTACTTTTCATCATTGTTTTCATCATTTATCTCATTGTTCAGATTTTATTCTATTCTATATTGTGCTGTACTACACAAGTGTGTGCATTAATCATATACTCCCTTTGCATGCAAGTGGCACAGCGCTCAACAATCATCGAATGGGGGTTCATATCTGTTGCGATCAATTGTTGATGAAGAAACATGCCAGCATGGGTGCACATGAACACCTCATGCAGCCCCAGCCACTGGAAAAACTTTGCTGTTGCCAGCAAATTTCGTTCAGTTTTCAAACCATGTCCAATAGATCACAGGCATGCCCTCCACCGTACTTACACATCAAAAAGCCCCAATGTGTGAGTGTAGTACTGTTGTAGTTCGATGCTATCTTCATTGCTTGTCAGTGGATGGCTCACCTGGCCTCCCGCCTCTGCATAGAAGCTCGTGCTGTGCAGGACAAGCCCCACCTTGTCTTCACCACCCGCGATTCGATCCACAAAGCCTGAGCTTGACAATATTGCGACGATTTTTGTGGTCACATCACCTTCTTCATACTTGAAGGCATCATTTGTCAGCTGCACCAACAGGATGCGATGCCTTTCAATCAGCAAGTATGTGGCAATGGCATGCACTGGCACTGGGCATCTTGATCAATTATTGTACAGGAACAAGAAAGCATTTTATGTGCGGCTCCCCTCACAATCGTCCCCCAGGAGCAGCAGCTTTCTCATGCCTTGTGTCACCTGCATTCAATGGAACAACTGGCACAGGCCAAAAAACTGCCCAGTTCACACAATTCAGAGCATGTCGCAGCAGAGAAGGCAGTGTCCAATCACTTGCTGACAAAAAAATTCGAACCAAGATGCACAATGTCGATCCTTGTTTGCATTCATGTTCAAGGGCTTCAACATAGGGCATCAGATGAACATATCTCCTTTCTGCGGATTGTGACATATGGTTGAGGTGTGACACACCGCAAGGCAAAAACGAGACTGCCTTCGGCAATTGTGCCCATTGTGTGTTTTATGGCTTTCCCATAATCATTGCAGCATCGTGTTCGATATTGTAGGTATGCAGTATGAATCCTACTTGATGGTGGCAAGGGCTGGCCTTTTCCTGCAGAACCTTAGCAGGGCTGGCACCAGCTCACACCAGCCGGTCCCAATTGCTGATATCAACTGCATCTAGTGTTCATGCTGTGCTTCTGGCACAGCTAAAAATTGGCTACACTTCGGCCAAAGCTACCATTCATGTGTGCTGACTGTGTATGATGTGACAACTTTGTGAACAGCAACCCAGACACCAGCTGTCTCTGCAAATTATGTACACTGCTGGCGTTGGCATAAAGTTGGAATCGTAGATTCCAGTGTGCTCTTGACTGTCCACCCACTGATAGCAGACACCAACTGAGCCCAATACTCACCGGTATGGAATTGTTTGCCAGCCATGCTGTTGCCTCTGCCTCAAACTTGATGCCCTCGGTGGCCCCCTTACGTCCTGCTGCCCTTGAGCGTTCCCGTTGCTCAGCCAGACCCCTCTCAAAGCCTGCCTTGTCGACAGTCAGGCCATTCTCCTCAGCCATGATTTCGGTCAAATCGATCGGGAAGCCAAATGTGTCCCAAAGGACAAACGCCTCGTATCTGCGACAGATAGCATACACAATAGAGGATCCAATTTAGCTTTCCATTTGGCTTAGTAGCAGTATTTTTTCATGAGCCTCACACCACAATAAAGTCCAGATCGCAGTAAGGTTTTGACCAGGAATTCACGCTTCTTGCTTGGGTGAGTGTT